AATAGGAAAAAATATAGCTCACCAAAAAGTTGAACGGAACCATCCCTCACATATTTCATATGATCGTACTGGTATTTTTTTTAAAGTCAACATAATTTTTATATTAAAGTGATGTTTTTTACCCTCTATGTCTAAGGCTCAAATAGGGAGGTTATGTTAAACTTAGCGTGCCTAATATTCATTTGATTAAAGTTAATTGGATATACTCTATATGTTCGAAAGCATAATTAGAATTATATGTAATTTTAATAATATCCAAATCTATATATGTTATTCTCCAAAATTTCGAGAATCTTGCAAGGGTGTGTTTTTCAATTGTTGTGCTTGTATTTGCTAGATCCTATAAAACCTTATTGCAAATCAGTTTTCACATGTTATAAATGCTTTATGTCGACCATTAGTCGATTTGTTGCTAAGATATTTGAAAAGCAATTCTTCGAGTCTCAGTTATCGGATAGAGAATTTGTAAAAAGTGAAATAAGAAAAAAAAAAAATAGTAAAAAATCTGTAATTTATTTAACTCTCGTTACGTTAATCGATTACTCTGTATCTAATTTAAAATCAAAAGTTGCTATTAAATTTATTGATTATTACAGTATTAAATTTAGAATCAAAAGTTGTTTTTTAAATTTCATATGAAGTTGGCAACTTTTGGAATTCCATTCCGACCTAAGTAGATTCTAAATATATAATAATTCCGTTCCGACATACGGCACATGGTTAATTCTAATCAGCTATTGATCGGGTTTGTATCAAATCCCGATACCGACAAAAAAATCCCAACGGTTAAAAATCCCGACAGCCAAAATCCCGACAGTTAAAAATCCGACAATTAAAAAATTCTGTCAAAAATATCATAAACCATAGCTAACCCTAGCCTAACCCTCATCTAAAGTGACCTAACTTTAAAGTTAATTAAATTATAAGAGTCTATCGCGCTTTAAACATACCCCATATTTGGAATTTTCTATATAAAAATTCTGAATGTCGGGATTTGACTGTCAGGATTTTTTTGTCGGAATTATGACCTGTCAGGATTTTGGACGGCACCCCTATTGTTCGCACATACATAACAATTAAAATAGTTTGCAATCAGTAAAATTACTGATTATACCCGGTTGATTACTATTAATTAAATAGCAAAAATTCCTATTGGTGACTATTTGATTTGTGGGTCTTGATCCGATTACTTACCTATTGAATTCTGATTGGATGCGTCTTGGTTTCTTAACGACTTCTGGTTGATCCTATTGAGCTCTTTATATGGAGTCAATAGGGTTAAATTTTGCAGCAATCAGGCAACACTATTGACTATTTATTAAATATCATTTTACTTGTGCAAAATTGATTACATACATGTAAACAAATTTAGTTTTCGTTAATAGACAGATTTTTCCAATTTTTTTTATTTAATTTTATATACAGAGAAACCTCCCTAAATGCACCTCCACAAATACACTACCTCCATTTAAACTTTGGCCCAAATATCTATTTAATCTCTCATAAATACTGTACAATTTTTCTTATTGTTCTCTAAATGCACATTACCAAGGGTTTGGTCCAGACAGTGTGCATTTTGTAAAAAAAATTTTCGTCAAATTTTGTCAGGTGGTTATCGAGAAAATTTCGCGCAAAATCTTAAAAATTTTAAAAACAATTACTTTGATAGGCAGATCGGGGTTTTAAACTTTAAGCGAAGTTTTCTTGACAACCATCTAATCAAATTCGACGAAAAATTTTTTATCTTAGTTTTGCAAATGTATAGAATTAAAATAAAAAAAAAATTTCATTGAATTTGATAGGTAGTTATCAAGAAACTTCATTCAATGCTTAGAAAAAATCTGCTCCGTCTATTGATAAAAATTTTTCAAACTTTTGAACAAAGTTTTCTCGACGACTACCTAACAAATTCAATGAAAAGATTTTTTATTTTAATTCTACGAATATATAAAATTAAGATAAAAAAAAAATTGTTCTATCAATAAACCAAATTTTTTTTTAAAACTTTGAGCAAAGTTTTCTTGACAACCACCTGACCAATTCAATGAAAATTTTTTTATTTCAATTCTACGAATGTGTAGAATTAAAATAAAAAATTTTCATTGTATTTAGTTAGGTGGTTATCGAGAAAACTTCACCTAAAGTTAGAAAAACTATCCTGTCTATTAAAATTGTTTACTTGCATGTAATCAATTTTAATTGGTTGAGCGTACGTAAGTTCATTAAATTAACAGTTAATTGAATATTGGAACCCCGACATCACACGACGCGACAATTAAGTTTCGAGGGTAGCGGTAAATTACAAAGCCCTTTTTCAAATTACTGTTGCTTGGTTATAGATGGTTTTTTTAACATATCTTTAAAAGCTTTAGAATAATATGAAACATTAGATGGACGTACATATTCGATATTAGGTTATCTATTTACGTATTAATGTTGCTTCTAAAATAATAACGATAAGATAATCTTTTGTAACTAGAATTATTAAGAGTAAATATACGTCATTGACCTTTGCAGTTAGTGCGCTTTATTATTTGTACGTTCGTATGTACGTACGTATATAATCACCAGGTTGGGAAACAAACATTTGGTGATTATAAGAAGTTGTGATTATCTGAAGGTCAAATTTTATATACGTACAGTATATATATTTTATAACGATAATAACTAGGACTAAAAAATCGTTTGAATATAACAAGGATGTGACTATATCAAGAGTGCCTATAACAAGGTCTGACGGTATACATTTACACTCGTAACATTATAAATCTGTAATAACTTCCTGTTTCTCAAAAAAAAAGCCTTATGTGCCAAGCACTTTAATATCCTTGGTACCGTATAAATTTTAATAAATTTATTTTCAAAAAAACGATAAGATAATCTGCAAGCATTTCTAACCAATAGTTTTACACTGTTTTTATATGCACAATTCTATCATAATGCTTATTCGAAATATGGACATCCAATTTGATTTCTAAAATGCTTTGTCTTTTTCATGGATGCACAAAAATGTATTGAAACATTTCATTTACCAATTGGGTTAATCTACGTAAATCTGTATTTCTAAGAAGTATATCAAATTCTTTTCATATATAATTCGAACGCGCGTTTATGTTGAAAAAAATTTTTCCGTTTCATTTCATTTTCCATTTTTTTTTTCCTGACGTTTATTCAATCAATAATAAATACAAAGCCTTGCAAGATTTGTATATGTATACCGCACTTAATACTCCGTAAATTTGTAAATTCCGGACGCCTTAAAGTTGTTTACATTTAATACTTATTAATATCTTATTAATATCTTATTAATATCTCAAGAAATATCCAGGTTTTAATTTATTTTTTTTTTATTCGTTCAAAAAATTTTGACAATTTGAATCTAGCGCGTGGGTTTTTCCACATATAATATACCCCGAAACAGTAAACAAACAGTCCCATGTCAAGTTAGCACTTATCTCCTAACCATAGGCACATACATGGAAGTGTCTGAGCAATCCAAATGCAAAAAGTTCTGAACACCGGAGTTTAATCTCACGTAACTTGCTAAGAACAGTTGACCAAAAATGGTCATCGTTCTCTACACGTGATAAAGGACTTAACTGGAAAATGTTCGCAGAAGAGGTATTATTCCTAATTAGAGTTTGGAACCGATTTATTTAACTTAATACCGATTAAACGGTTTAATACCGGTTCAAACCCTTACTAAGATTTATATTTGTTGCAGTAATTAGCACTACCAATACGATACCGATCTGGATGCCATTGCGAATATACTGTGACATTGTAGTTAGATTTGATTTCTTTATCTAATGCTTCTGAATGTGTACCTTATTAAGTGTGCACTTCTCTTTTTTTTCTTTTTTTTTACTTCCAAGAGGACATACTTGGACATACTTTGAGAGGTATTACTTTATCTTGATATTTCTTTGATACATGATAGACTATGCAATCGTATAACACTAATTTTAATTTCGAATAGCTTTCCACATAAAACGCACCAATTGATTAATGAGATCATGACATTCACTTAGAACCAACAATTTGAATGGTTCGGTTCACTCGGCATTTTCCATAAAATTTACTAGAATGTTAAAAAAGCAGATAGTCATGCAACAATATTTGTGTGTAGATTGTAAAGGCATTTACAATTCCGTAATTACTGTTTCACAAAAATGGGTTTTATAAATACGAGTAATTAAAGTCTGTTTGAGTCATAGCTTCGGCTGGTTTTTTTTTTTTTTTGGATTTGTTACGTTTTTCAAAAAAAAAAAAAAAACTAAGAAAAAGACCCCCCTCCGAAAACTCAAAATTAATAAAAAAAAATTAAGCATCAAAATTTTTATAAAAAAAAATATATATAATATTATGGATAATGAAAACCAGCCCGATACCACCGAAAATTCTAATGTTCATGATGAAAATTCGGTGAGCGAAGGCCCCCTTGCTGTCGAAACACTTACTGTTGTTGAAGACGAAGGTGTTACTAATGATCAAGACGAAAATTCTGCTACAGTTGAAAGTGATGCTGCAGTCGAAGCATCTATTCTTAATGGTTTTCCCTATGGTCCTTTCGAATTTTCAGAAAACGATGGACCTCTCTTAGACCAAAACATTGAAGAAAGTGAATATCCTTTGGGCCCGTGTAAATTTCAAGAAAGATATGATCCCATATTAAACCAACACATAAGAGAGATAATATCATTATCGGAGGAGATGTCGTAATAATAACGTCCTATTGCCTTTATTATACTACTCATACATAAGTTTTTAAATGAGATTTTGTGCTTTTTTTTCGATGGGGCAGTAGTTCAGCAAATTGGTAGTCATGATGTTTCCGCTGGTACACATTGGTAATAATGAGGGTTCTGTTCGTACACATATGGCCCAAGGTATTATATTATTCATTGATTTAATATTATATAGAATTTATTACATTTATTAATTAGAGGGATTCAATTAAACCATTCAATTACACTTGACCCTTGTTAACATCAACTCATTTGGATAGTAATATTAATGAGGGAATCATATTAAAGTTGATATATATGAAGGAATTTTAACATAACTTTAATATATAGAAATTCATTTTATTGTTTAGGTTGATATTAACGAGGATCAAGTGTATTATTATTATTTCTTTTTATAAGTGTGAATAAGGACATTAAGATAAGATATATAATAAAAATATTTCAAATATACGTGACTACATATTCAACTTTTGTTTACGTGATTCCTATTTTAGTAAAAAAAACATGAACGTGAACTAATATACCATTCTAATTACAGAATTAGCGTTAGTGTGATTGAATAAACATTTATATATAGTTTCATTCCTGTGGCTGAGTACAAAGAAAAAAAAAATTATACGATTGAAGGACCAACGGGTAGGTAACCTGTTATATCTTGATAAGTTTAACTGGAGATGAACATCAACTAACGTTAAAATTTTTAGGTAAATATTATAAATTGTAACGTCCCTCGCACATTTTAATTTATAATTACGTAAGAAACTTTTTACCGAATATACATTTACGTCAAACTAATTTAAGTTCCCGAACCGAAACTCTGGTAAATGTATCAAATTAAAGGTACATATGCTGTATTATTTTGTATACCGTGAAATAACGTCATGTTTAAATTTTTTTTTTTTTTTTTTAAGATGTGCGTAACCAAATACACCTTTTGCCAAATTATTTCTGCTACATAATATGAAATTAAAAAATAAATTGAGATGGTGCTTATTTACGATGGAATACGAAAGGGAAAATATGCCAATGAAGCTTGACAAACTTGTATAAGTCCGCAACAGACCTTGGTGGACGTTTGTCAAAAAATTTAGACCGTAATTTTTTACAATAAAACTGGTCAAAATAGGTCAAATATATATATATGTCGTGCATCAGATTAAAATTTAAATGCGGAGTTTTTTAGGGTAAGGGTGGGCGCCTATGTTGGGCATTAGCGGAATTATAATGATTTTAATCTGACGCAGATTTTAATTTGACGCACAACATATATATCTATTTAAAAATTTTATTGAAAATCAAATTTAACATTTCTGAGAATGAAGGTGCTTTCAAACCACTTTTGGTTTTAGCTTCGCCCCAAGTCCTGGGGACATTAGTTTATTTGACGATTTAGCAATTACGCTAATTATCAAAAAAGAAACAAGACGTAAACCCATTGCATTAGCGTTAACAATCATTATTAATGTTTGGTCTAATTTTTTACTATATAATTTAATAATCTGTATCTCCTTTCCTTGCAGTACCTTCTAGTCATCACTGCATATTATTTGTACTGCAATTATTTCAGAGAAAGGAGATATTATCCATAATTAATGTCGGTGATGATGCTGAGAATTTGGAGTCTCAATTTAAGAATCTAAACTCTACTAAAGTCCACATATACTCTTTTATTATGAACTCTAACCCTAAATTCTAACCTAACTCCAAAAAAAAGCTAAAAAAAAATAGCCAAAAAATTTATAAAATTTTATATTAAAATAATTTAAATTCTCAGCATCATCCCCGACAATAATATTAGCGTCAATAGCAAGTATTGAAATAAGGGAATAGGTTCTTATTATTAGCGATACGTTAGCTTCGGTGTCACAAAAAAATCTACTAATGAAGACACCGATGCCCATTAATTTTTAAATAAAAAATAAAAAAAGTTTTTAACCCAATTTTACCATAGAATAAGCTATTTATTAAGATTTCTCTTTTAGATTCAAAAAAATAAATTTCCTATCAAAGATTATCGGCTTAATGCTGTAATGCAGGGCGTATGAACTCTTAATAACGTATTTAAAATTGATTACTAAATTTAAGCTTGATATAATTACACATAAAATATTTTTTCTCAGCAAGATGACTTATTACGTACGTACGTACGTACGTACGTAATTTTAAATTTCAAAGCAAGAATATTAAAATGTACGCCATTGTTCCAGTTAAAGGTATTATTATTAATTATGTAAATCATGATCGAATTTATTTTTAATGTTCGGAATTTTTTCAGTTTCACAATCATTAACGGGCAATCAAATTCTATAAAAAGAATAACGCCTCTTGTGCATTTCTCAGCCAATGGCTAAATTGACTTAGTTTCTTTGCAATTACACGAAACCCCGTAGCTCACCTAGTGACTGGACTCGTCAACTCGTGACTCGAGTAATTCGAATTTATCATCTTCGAATCAACTCACGAGTTACTCGCGAGTTGACAATTATTAATATATAATTAAGTGCTATGTTAAAATAACGTAATGATACGTAATTAATTGAAAGTTAAATAAACTATGTACTCCATCTATATTTAATAATTGCGTGATCGCAATTCTTATGAAATTTAAATCACTAATCATTAATAATTAGTAATTTATGAAGCTTATAATCAATAAAATAAATCAACTATTGTAATTGCGAATTTTTAAAATAAATCTTGATTTTTAAAAACAATTAATCGTACAATTATGTCGCAAAACGAAAGTGACAATGAGAGGGAAGAATCTAGTGACAATGAGCAGGATGAATCCAGTGACAATGAGTGGGAAGAATCTAGTCAAAGTACATGTAATTTCAAAGGTCGACCTAAAAGTTTCGTCTGGGACTATTTTGAAAAAGACAATAACAGTATAACTTCGACCTGTAAAATTATATTAGATGATGGAAAAGAGTGTGGTGTCTCATACAATGATGGCTCAACAACTTCGAACTTAATTAACCATCTTGCCCGTAGGCATAGGATATTTAAAATACTCCTTGCCATCCTAGCAATGCCATTAAAGTACAATTTATTAGAACTGAAAATGAATATGAGTTGATACGGCAGGATTTAATTTCGTTTATTATTGATGATTCACAGCCATTCAATATTGTAGAATGTAAAAGTTTTGAAAAATTATTACATTCACTTGATGAAAACTTTTCAATTCCTTGTGATAAAACTGTAAAAACCACAGTTAGTCAATCATTTTCATTGAGCAAACAACAATTAATAAACATGATAGAAAATGATAGTATTGCTGTATCTATAACAATGAACTTTTGGACAAGCTGTTGTCATCATGGATATGTTGGAATCATCTACGCATGGATTTCTGAATCTTGGAAGCCTAAAGAAACACTTCTTATTTTACAACATGTCTTATATCACCATATAGGCGAAATCATTGCTGACCTATTGAATCATGTTTTAATTGAATGAGATTTAATTGATAAAATGATAGCAATTACTATGGACAATGGATCGAATGTAAAAAAGGCCATCCAATTGTTAGGATTTAGTAGAATTCCTTGCGCAGCATATGTGCTTCAGTTGACTATTGGAAAAGGATTAAATGTAGTTAAGCATTTAGTTTTATGTGCAAAGAGGTTAATTGATTTCTTTAATAATTCACCAAAACAAACAGAATATCTTCTTATCACACAAAAAGACCTTGGGTTTAAAAAGCGTTTCTCAACAATTGGTAATATTTTCATACAGTGAAATTCAACATTTTACACATAAGAAAGGTTAATTCAATTAAAAAGAGCAATAGTGTATCTTCCTTCACAGCTTCAATCAGATGAAAGTGCTTCTGTTTGAAAAGATAGTAAGCGATTAACATATATTATGCTTTCTGATGATGAATAGATTTTTTAGATGAATTAAACGATATCCTGTGTGGTTTTGAAGAAGTAACAATGTTGTTAAGTAGAAATAGTTATGTGACTATCTCTTTAATGTACCCAGCAATTTCAGTATTAATTAAGACTTTAAAATCATCACTTCAACAATTTTATATTGAAATGATATCAACTGATATGAGCAAATTGACAATTTTAAATTATATGGAAGAGATTATAGATGATACAAAAGATTTTATTGAAATTAAGGAAGTTGACTTGACATCAGAAATTATTCATAAAAAAATTAACATCTCAATCCCAATGATTATAATTGGAATGCTTGAGAAAGTTAAAAAAATATTCTATAATAGTATGTAAAAGTATTAACAATCTGTTACAGATGTTAGCATGCTAGCATGCTTACTTGATCCACAGTTTAAAAAGCTACGTTTTGCAAGTACAAATATAATTCAAAAAACTAATAATCATTTAAAAAAACTATATGAATTAGAGTGTGAGATTTATATGGCTTCTAACTATTTGACACTCTTGTCTAATATTCAGAATGAAGATTTAGATGCCAGTATGGTTCCAAGAAAATAAAATTCAATTCTTTTGGAATTATATGCTGACAATAATAATACAATTAATGAAATTGATGAATATTTGTTGTTGAAAGAGGAAAGAAGATGAACAGATTCTTTTCAATGGTGGAATCTTAAAAAAACCCAGTTTCTGATATTATCAAAAATTGCTCGAAAGTATTTATGTGTATTGGCAACATCAGTCTCATCAGAATGGTTATTTTCTGATGTTGGAAACAATTTACAGCAAAATGTACAAACCTTGATCCAGAATTGGTGAGAGAGATGCTATTTTTAAAGAGAAACATGAATTTATTAGACACAATATTTCCAGCTAATGAATAATTTATATGCCATGTATTGGCTTTATAACTTCTAATTTGAGATGTTTGTTTTTATTGTTATTCACTTTTTATAATACATGAATTAAATTAAAACATGCTTGCTTTGTAACTTTCAATTTGCTATTTACAATAATTAATTTATGTGACTTTGTAACTTTAAATTTGCTATTTACGATAATTAATTTATGTTACTTTGTAACTTTCAATTTGCTATTTACAATAATTAATTATATGACTCGAATAACTCGAATAAAATTCGAAGAATATTATTATTCGAATGATTCGAATACTCTTTGGAGTTTAATTCGCGAGTCACGAATTACCACGAGTCCAGTCACTACTTCAAGGTCAGATATGATACAATTTAATAAATTTAATTTATCCTTCCATTTCATCTTTGATACTGCAACTAGTGTTCTGAGTTGGTAAATATTTTATCAATCGATTAGTTGCCAACTATAGTTGCAACTAATCGATTGTTCACATCACGTGGCATCATCAGATGATTAGCCAATCAAACCAAAGGAATTAATTCGGATCTGCCCGACTAGACAGAATTTCTCGGAATTGTACTAGTTGAATCATTAATCGATTAGTTGTTTAAAATTTTTTCTAATCGACTAGTTGGAAAGTTGGCAACTAGTTGATTTTTCAACTAACGATTTGGAACACTACTCACGGCTCCATACTCGGTTTCAAGGTCTAGAGCCGAGCCGTTTTTGAAGCCGATGCTTTATTAGTAGACCTGGAGCCGAGCCGTTTTTGAAGCCGATGCTTTATTAGTAGACCTGGAGCCGAGCCGTTAATCGGCTCGGCTTAGCCATTTGGCTCGCGGCTCAGCTCGAGCCGTTTGCATCATGAGATAACTGATTACGGATAAATGGATAAACGGTTAATGTACTGGAACTCTAGTTATAATGAAAAATATCAGTTGTATTTTAGGGTATAAGTGTTGCGAAATCTGTCTTTTTTAACAAACCATATTAGATATAGATAGTCATGTGCTGCAACTTGCTGATCCTTTAATTAAATTACCCTAAAAATTTTCTTTGACCTCTATCGCTATTATTGGAAAAAACTTTACTGAGTAATTTTCCGGAGCACAACCTTGTACACATTTTCGGTATGCTATTTTTTGAACTATATACTTAACATGTCTCTGGTTAAACCGACATCTAGATATACAGTATTGCTGATTTTTTAACCAATCATCTTTTGATGACACAGGATAAACTTCTGTACCCCCATGGTATAGGATAAAGTACCTATACCCGGGTACAGGATAATGACGCTCTGGGCAATCAACGCCCAGTTAATAGCTGGTTCAAAAAGGTGTGAACGGATGCAGATCATATCACGGGAAATTAACAAATTTCAATTTTCAAAATCCGTTCTAATCGGATCTTTAATTTTTACACCCGATTCTTCGATTTTCCGCATAGGTATATGGAAATCGTTGTCCACACCTTTTTGAAAATAGCGGTAATATATGTTGTGTAGAGATGGAACCAGTTTAAGAGGATATTTCCTTATAACTAGGAATGGGCCACTGCGCAGAATTTTTGAGAGGCATAATGCTTTGTTTTATATGTTTGATCTATTTTTTAAATAAACTTATAAAAAATAAATGCAATTATGATATAGGTAATTTATATTTTGGGTACTAATATATTTAAAGTTTGTACCAAAATTGCATTAGAAAATTTCCGAATGAAATATAAGTAAAATATGTTAGCACTATTAATATACAGTATAATGTTTGCAAAATGAGCAGCCTGCACAGTAGATTCAAAAATCCTCGATCTACCCATCTCTACTACAGATGACTTTCAAAAAAATCTATTAATTTACCCTAATGAAATTTGCGGAATAAAATTTTTTAATCTGCGTTCCGCAGATTCCGCATGATAATTTTTTCGATGCAAAGGCGGATGTTGGATTACACAAATAACAACTAACAACAAATACGACTAAATACAAACTCTAATAATGGCAGGCAACTTGGTACGACTATTTGGAATTAGAATGAAACACTATATATAGTTCAGTGTTGAACTCCATTGAGTTATTCTTTATTCAGTGCAAAATGGCTTCGCTTATATACTTATTTTTACATAGTAATGAGATAATATAATAAAGATATTGGAAATATTAAAGATTCTAACTATCTCTATATTTATTATCTTGGATATTTGGGATTCTCGAGATTTCTAGGATTGTACCACCTTGGAAACCGCGGCAATAATCGGGGTGCAATTTACTTTTTCTCACCGTATGTACGGTTCAGGAAATCTAAAATATTCAATTATTTTATATTGAATGAAAAATAACACTCATCTGAAGCTAAATTTGTTATTCTCATTGGCGGAGTTTCAATATACACTATTAAGTTCGATGAATGTACGTACGATTCAGGAAATCAAAAAACTCAATTACTTTATATTAAATAAAAGACAATCAACTATATCAATCATTTTTGTTATTCTCATTAGCGAAGTTTTAATATGCATACAACTTAATTTGGTTCTATATATTTGCCTACGAGGTTACATGATCAATGGAGCGTCACTTATACATACGGTTTAAAATATCCGGAAACTTCAATCACTTTGTATTGAATAAAAGAGAGCTAACTCATTTGATGCTAAATTTGTCATTCACATTAGCAGAGTTTCAATATACACTATTAAGTTCAATATAGATTAATTTGGTTCTATAAATATTTCCACGATAACTTCTTTTGCCGATGAATGTACAGTACGTACGATTCATGAAATTCAAAAGCTTAAATTACTTTGTCTGATTCATTTTGCTTTAAATTCGTCATTCTCAATAGCGGAATTTCAGCATACACCATTAAGTTCGATACCTTAATTTGGTTCTTGGCGTATTATAATTTTGGAAATATTCTATTTTCAATATTGAGACTTTTGGATTTCTGAATCGTACATACGTATATAACTCGTACAATTCTTGCATCTTAATTTAAACAAAAATGTTTATATGAAGCAACACTCAAAATATTTATAAGTAGTTCACGGTGAAGGAAAGGTGCTTGCAGTCCCCATTAATACTAAAATCCTAAAAAAATAATATACTACGCTATTAAAATACTTGTGGTTTTTTTTTCTTTTATATCTTAAGCACCTTCTTCCTCATAAGAAAATATTCAATAAACAGATATGAAGACCGAAGAAGAAGCTGTCAAATATTTTGAAATGTTAGCTCGTGTTATTCCCAGAACAGATGGAAAGGATAGAGAAGAATTGGTTAAAAAATGCCTAATATATACTGCCGATAAGATTCGTCAGCATGATCCTTATTTTTTTAAATATTATATCTTTAAAAATGAAGATCAATTATTTGAAGAATTATTGCATGAAGCCGAGAATGCTATTAAGGTTTCAGAAATTACGAATGATGATAGTGCTATTGATTTAATTAATAAAATTATTAGAGTTGAATATGATTCAATTAAAACACCTATTACGATTAAAGAAGCTTTAAATTGTTTGAAGTTGCGTGACCGAGCATTTTTTACTCAAGAAATTCGAGAAATTAATGATTATGATTGCTCAAATTATAATGGAACTGAATTTGCAATTAAGCGTAATGATAATTCAAAGAATTATATTCAATTGAAAAATTTTAATATAATTCAAAATGTTGTTAAATGGCTTAATTTTGAATTCGAAAATCGAAAAACTCCTCATTTTGAACCATCCACTTTAGAATCTATTCGAGTTGGAATTGGAATTAAAGTTTGTTTAAAAGATTTTAGACTACTCAATGGATTAAAAGTCAAAATTCGAGACTTTATTGATCATAGAAATAATAACTATGATATCATTTTATTCCAATTCAGTAATTTTCTGTTTTATTATTTGAAAAATATTTTTGAATATGCTATTGAAAAACAAATCAAAAGTGGGTACGATATAGATTTTGATCACTCTAAGACTGATGATGCAACCAATATAAAATGGGTTGGATATGCATGTCGAGATAAATATCCTAAAGATACCAATCACAGCAGGAAAAGACCAGTTTTGATCAACGAGGATGGAGTATATTCAATTACTAATAATTATGCTTTTAAATTTGATAGTGATCATATTAAAGATATTAACGAAAAGAAAATTTTGATAATTACTGATGCAAATTATCCTTTTATTAGTGATTTTAAAGCATTTAAATTTGGTGTTTTGTTTTATGATTTTAAAAATCCTTTTGATCTCTTTTTAAATCATGTTATGGATAAATTAAATAAGAGTGAATAGTTTTAAATTATACGATGTTATGTATCATTTCTCAATTTAGGCAAAACAAAGTAAATTTTCTGGCTTTTATATTCCCGCCTGTCAATTTAAAATTTTTTAAAAATATCAATATATATGCAATAACCGGGTAGATATTTCAATAAAATTTTATATATATATTAATTTTTTAAAAAAAGCTGGATGGCCGCGTCTGTTTAGAAGTTTTAATGATGTGAAGACCAAATTTATAAATTTACAATTATATATTAAAAGATTCTTAAATTTTATTTGAGCCTATGACTAAGTACTAAATACAAATTTACATGCATATATTTAACCAAATATAATTAAATTTATGCATATAGCAAATGCTATCCCTATAAAAAATTTTTGTCCGAATATTTCCATTATTTCTCCGTAGCCTCCGTAAAAATTCCATGAAAATGATACATTTACGGATATCCGTGTTAGGGAGATTAAAATTTTTCATGATTTAAGGTTATAAATTCCATGAAAATGAAACATTCATGGAAAAAGCATGGAATAATAAACACGGATCAACATTTTTTATAGGGTATGACATTTCAATAATGAAATAAAATATGGAAGTGAGTCAATAGAAACGCACCAAATTTTTTTAAGTAAATTTTTTCTTAAAAAAAAAAATCTAACAATATCTTAATTAAATTTAATAAAAATTTTTTGTACTAAACTTGATTAAATTATTTTGTTTAAATATTCAAAAACGTTTCATTAAAAAAGATTTGGTGCATTTTACTAACTTACCCACATATCCCTTGAGCATAACAAATTATTATTTTTTTTATAAGAGCATTACTTAAATGCTGCAATTCTTTTTTTTAATAACAGCGATAATCTGGGCGAGGTATTTAGCTTTCACCAATATTATAATCATTATTCGCATTGCTATTTGCCAAGAACTTACATAATTCGCAAAATTATATATGAAATTTTGATTTAATTTCTACTTTAATTAAAAATACATAAATTGGGATTTCTTGAATATTATATGCAGTGCTCGGCACAAATAAACACCCTATAAAAAAAGTCGATCCGTTTTTTATATTCCGTATTTTGTCCATACGTATTCACGGAATTTATAACCTTAAATGGAGATTATTCGGCTTGTATAGATTTTGTGAATCATGTGGAATTTCACAAAAATATGGAGAAATAACGGAAATATTCGGAAAAAAATTTTACAGGGACAAAACTTGACACTTAAATACTTGATTAAGTCGTATATCAAACGATCATAGATCAAATCAGCCATTTACCATATACGTATAGCTGAATCCGTTCGCATATTATTGAAAAATTTTTAGTGTCAATAAAATTCTTAAAAAAATTTTTTAATAAAAAGTAATGCCAGGGCCGCCGGGTCATTAAAGGTTATTGTTTATATGAAGACCGATAGTATAAATTTGTTTACTGCTACTATCATAATTCCTGGAACACCTTAATTTTAAAAAACTTTTACAAGAAAACTTTCTAGTGATTTCGGCATAATAGATTCTATAAATTAATACATATACGTATGTACGTACGTACGTAAGTACGTAGGTAATTAAGAACAGGTAACTAATATAAATATTATGCCGTTACGAATCTCTCAGATCAAATACAGAAACATAATGCTTTCAAAGCATCTTCGCTGGCGAATAATTGAAAAAAATTTAGAAAGCTTATCACTTCGAAAATTGCAAATCTTAGATGTTAACATGTCTTTTATAAGTCGAGTTCTCAAGCACTTTCGAAGATATGGATATATTAAAATTTCTGCGACAGATATTAATAAAATCAAGATTTTTTTGAATGGAATCTTGAGTCATATCTTTAAACATCGACAAAATTCTTGACCATATCTAACTTTTTTAATGTCGTGTAATATGTTTATTATAAATGTCTATTTTATATCTGGAGGCTTTTTGGATTTCTTGTCAATTTTAGCCTTCTTTATAAGTTTTCGCACAAACTAAACACACAGAATAGTCAAACAAAATTTATAACAGTGAACGTATCAACATTTATAATGATAAAATTATCTGTAGAACAAGTATTATATGTAACATGTCTTTCATATATAAGGTTGGAAAATTATTATAATTTCGCATAAGTTTGTATATGTTCTGAAGTCAAAATTGTATGTAATTTTTGTTATAATTTCGCATAAGTTTGTATAAGTTCTGAAGTCAAAATTGTATGTAAATTTTGTTACGTGAATAATGTTGGCCAAAGCTCTCGTAGAGTTGGTTCATAAAGTCTAGCAATACTGGCAAAACTTTTGTAATGCTGGTGCAATAATCAGCATTATTTAATGTAAAAGTTACGTACGTATGTGCGTACGTACGTACATGCATATGTACAATTTTGTAATTTTATTGAATTTATTATGCCGAGATAATAACTTAACCAGATCGGTCGATAATTTTTATCAGGTTTTCCAGAAATTATGATAATAGCAGTAAAAAAAAATTTTAATAAAAATCAATACACGGATTAAAGGTTATTGGTGATATGAAGACGATAGTATAAGTTGGTGTGGTCCAATTTTATAAAAAAAATTGAAGTCTATTTATGATACGTGACGAAATTATTTTTACAATGACTAAATGGTTTCATCAATGGTTTCGTCTGATGAACTTTGGCGATTGACGAAACTGTTAACCAAAATTAATTGGGGTTTTTGCCTTGAAAATCACCCTCCGACATTTCCGATTGGGCTAATTCGGACAAAAACAACCCGAGTACCGACCATATTTATATGTTAATCGTCTTTTACCTTTATCGATTCAATAGTTATTTTGAATCAATAAAGGTAAAAGATGATTAACATATAAACATGGTCCAGTACTCGAGGCAATTGTCGGGGATGATGGATGATCGTAAAATTAACGCATCTAATTGGTTAGATGATCACCTAAATTTTACTACCATCCAAATTTCAGCATCATCCCCGACATTAGTTTTAACAAAAATACAATTGCCTTTCTTACGAGTTTCTTTATAACAACCTCAGTATATTTTGAATGAAGCATATGAAAAACATAGTAATTTTTAATTGACAATGAACTTCATTCCTACTAAATGGACAGCTCGTTATGGATCTCTTGCAGCATAGGTGACTAAAGTTGGGATCCGACTAAAGTTGAAACTTCAGTTTACTGAAGTTGGACCTGACTGAAATTAGCCCCTGAAATTAGATCATTCTGCACGCATTAGTTAGCAGTTTTAGGCAGGTGCCAACTTCAGTCAACTGAAGTTCCAACTTTAGTCGGATCCCAACTTCAGTCACGACAACACCATTAATAAAATGTATTATGAATCAATTAATTTAGAATACGTAGGTATCACCTATACTGTAAGTAGGGCGAGTGGCACAGCTAAAAAAAACTTGCGTGCCACATGGCATGCCAACTGCCAGGTAGTGATTCGAATCGTTTAGTTGAAAATCAACTAGTTGACAATTTTCCAACTAATCGATTTAGAAAAATTTGAAACAACCAATCGATTTAATTATCAACTAGTTCAATCCCCAGATATTTCGTCTAGTCGGGCTAATCCGTGTTGATTTCTTTAGCTTGATTGGCTAATCGACGAATTTAGTCACATGATATAAAAAATCGATTAGTTTAATTGATTGGCAAAATTTTTACCAACTAGGAACACTAAGGTGAATTTTTGATAACATACTTGAATATCAAACAATTATAAAAATCTTGGAGTACGTCTAGAAGTATCAAAAAAGTAGGTGCAGGTGTATCAAAATGAAAGTTTTGCGCTGATGCCACCATGTCATTAAACCACATGATAGATATACTCAATTTGGATTGGTCAGCTATCATCTTCTATAAAATACACTTGCGGAATACTTCGGAGCATTTCTTCAATTTTTCTTTTGAATTTACATTTTTTAATTTTCAATTCGGAAGGAATATAGATAAATGGCATGCCTATAGGCAGTGATGTACACGGACGTTGTCCCGTTAAAATTGCAGGGATACGGATTGTCCCAATGTCCGTGATTGCGTCCCATGTCATAAAGTTTATCGAACAACCTGATTGGCTAAAAGACTGTTCTTACTATAATTTTAATTGTCCGGGACAAAAAAATGTCCGCGGACATGTCCGTGGACGTCCCGTCCCGGACTGTCCGCCGTCCGTGACAACACTGCCTATAGTGTTGGGCATGTCTATGGCATGCAACCATAAGCTTGCCACCCTGGCATGCCCATTACCTCTGTGCCACTCACCCAAACTGTAAGAGATCTTTTGTTACGTATAAAAAAAATAAAAATAAAAATAAAAAAGGTAATTTTTTACGTATTCATTTACCCCCAGTTCGTATGAGCTGATCTACAATCTAATTCTTGTCAAATTTGCTAATGCTAATCATTGAACGCGAAATGTAGATCGGTTTCTATTTTTGCACGGTATCCGATAGCGATAGGTCAATGATAAAAAAATTAACATCACATGGGAATTTAATTCTATGATAAGTCTTTTTCTTATCAATTGTCGTAGATTTCGTTGTTCATCATAGAATTCATTCATTTTCGTAATTCGTCGTAGTTGATCCTTTTTTTTTTAATTTAATTAATCTATTTGTTTATTTATACCTCAATAAGATATGCATTATTGTCTCTTGGCATGCGTCAATGATTTCCTAAAGAGAAATCGCATGGTTTTAATTTTTCAACATTTATTATACTATCTACCCTTTCAAAACCGATCCTGTCAAACCGATAGCCTGTCATAGCTGATTAAAAATCAATCCATCATCTCCGTTCCATAATTCAAATATGAAAAATGCATTTCTTGGCTATTGTCCAAAGCGTAGTGGGAATCATCTACAGACTAGACAAATCGAATGCAATGTCCGGCGGAAACAACCAATGAAATTCGGGACTTGCTTGTTCTGTAGTTAGTGTATTAACTTCAGATTCTGATACCTAGTTCAGTAGTTAGTAACTAGGAAAACAGATACTGTTAAATATCCAGAGCTAAAAATTTATTAGAGCCATTATCTAAGGCAAATTACCGTAAAATCTCGAAATAACGCCCAGGGGTGAAATTACGAAATTTGGCCTAAATTAGGCTTAATTCGGGCAAAAACTCAAAATAACGCCCATGCGAGATTTTACGGTAAATAAATTTGATGATCATACAAAATTACATTCAAACGTGACATCGCTACGCTCCGGATCTCACTGATCTATCACTACATCATAGGTCGTCCTCCGTTACGCTTCGGATAATAGCGATAGCAGCAAATTCGATATTTGGATTAACGAAAATCGGGTTTTTGTTTAACAATATAACATAAAATTTAACCAACCAACTTGATTTACAGTTTATCAAATTCGATAATCTTTACATACCGGTTTTAGAAGAATAGACTGTATTGTATATTACTACGTATCGGTATATGTATACAATATTTAAAATTAGTCATAGGTTTCGTCATTCGCCGACTTGAAATCACTTGACATCATTAGCGCCAATAGTACCAATCTAAACGACAAGCACGAACAATTTTTTCAACTAATCAAGTCATTTTGAGAATGGATTAAAATTGATCTTGAATTTGCGTATTACCACCAGTTTAGCTCTTGAAGAATTTGCTATTATTTATCATTGCTTATTTATTATAATAACTAGAAACCGGAAAGGAAACAGAGATTAGAGCCTAAAATTTTGAATGTTCAATCAATGACAATAGTCCCTGGAAAATCTGGTCATGTATGTACAGATCATATTTTCAGTCGGAAAATGCCGAAACTACGTTTTTGATATTCCTATTATAAATGCATCAAAATCGTAAGTTCGATCATCAAAGCGCATATAAATGAGTCATCCATCCGGACAATCCCCGACAGTAATAGAAATTTAAAACAGAACTTAGATATAGTGTAAACGTTGTAGAACACTGATGGATAGAGTTTCAAGGTTTATCTTTAGAAAACTTACACGTAATAGTGTTGGTCTTTTGGAGGAAGATCCTGTGATTGTAATAGATTTATTATCATTGACCTTCTCTTTCACGAGCTAACGAAATACTGTAAATACAGTGATAATAAATTAATAAATTACTATTGTTATTACTATTGTGTACGAAAGCTATTTTGTCCATTTTGGCTTAATAAATATTTATTGCTCTCACGATTAATAAACGCATCTTTTAAACTCAGATCACCTATTTCTCTCTTACGTATCTGTACGTGTTACGTAATTTTGACTATCGTTATCTGTTATGTGAAATTTTAAAGATATTACACCATAATATAATAAGGTTTATATTCAACACGTATAATAGCTACGAATGAATGCTTCACGTGCGTAAAATTTTGTTTATTAACGTCAGGCATAGAAGAATCTTAGATTAGATAATGGATGGAAAAAAAGAATTCGAACAAAGAATATATTTGAACAAAAAAAACAAAATAATAATAATAGTATATTATGGTAAAAGAATTACAAGGCAAAAAAACTTTATCTAGAAACGGTTTAGATATGTGAAAATTAAGTGAAGATCAAAATGTTTACGATTTATGACAAAGACGTAACATTCTAAAAAGATAACCTTGCATGTTTCATTGTTCTTAACAAAGGTCATCGATTGTAAGTAAAGAACAAACAAATTTTTTTATATTCTGTTTTCTCTCTTTTTTTTAGAAATATATATACACTTATATACTTTACGTTTATGTTTACGCACTTCTTAACTACTTATAAGAATTGATATTCACTAGTTATTGTATTTCAAATTTCAGGTTTTTATTTAAAATAGGAAGACAAGATACGATTGTTCTGCCTTTGTTTAATCACAATTGTTATTAATCTTATCATTATTTTAATCAAAAATTTTTATAAAGTAAACCAAACTACACAGCCAATTAATTAAAAATACTCGTAAGACTTTTAAAAAAAACCGAAATTGTATTTACTTTTTACTTTATATAATTTATTTATATAAAGTTAGTATGCTTTGGAAAAAATTAAAAAAAAATTAGGTTATGTAATAAAAATCGGCCGATTTTGGAATTAAAAAAAGATTCCCTTGATCACCATATGAGTCAAATTCGTATCTATGCTGTGTAATCCATGCATCAAATTTGTCATAATAGCGTTAATCAATGCTAATCAATATAAATTTCTGCCATTTTTTAATCACCTGTGCATTGTTTCAATATTTTCCATACATGCTATGATGATTTACGTTTACATTCATTTCATGACTAAAAATTGATAGTTGTCGTCATATTATATATATACTCTATGGTTCTATAAAGTGACTTTTCATTTGTACGTTGGATGTAAGCGGGGGAATCTTTGACTACAATTCAAAAATGGGAATAGCATGCAGTCATAAATAAAGAATGGTGTTACACACTCCATGTAATATATTCAATACATTTATACATCTCCCTTGTCAAATGTAAAAAGATTAATCTTGATGGCCGAAATAGATAAATACATGTAGTATTAAAAAGTTCAATTCACCTTTTTCCTTTTTCTTAACTCATTATCTTGTATATAGTTTTTTTTTGAAACCAAAAGCTCTCAACGGATCGCTTAGTATTTTACTTTTTCATATTAATAAATGTGCCATCATTTTTATCAAAGGTTATTATTATTTTTTTTATTATTTCATTTATTGTATTATTTTGGTCGAAATAACGCGTCATTTGGTTACTTTCGCTGTGAACATTTGCATGCTGTCGTGTATGCATGTGGTTTTTTTTGATTATGAATTGAAAATGGCTCGTGATAATTTTTACCAAGATTGCAATTTGGCTACACGGCAATTATGCGTAGAATTATAATTAACATTATTAACCTATCATTCATCATATCTTACTTAGAGCTTTTCAACTCTCATTCTTTCCCAATTGAAAAAAAAAAAATCCCACACGTCTAAATCTGTCTCTCAAGGTCTCTTAAAACGGTTAACACCGCAATATATTTCCAAATTACCCTTTCTATTTAACCGGGGATTTATTTGTTAAATATCTAGTACATATTCATACATATTGTTCGAATACTACCAATAAGTTCACTGTCATTGGTTAACCTATGACAACAGCCTTTTTGGTTTCTAAGGTTTAACGATTCATTTTTTCATTGTTCGAATTTTTCTTTACCTTTTCCTCTTTATCCTCGATTTAACCTTCCGTCTCCATAATACTCGTCATTTCAGTTATAATTTATAGGATTTTGCAGAATTTGTCCTTACTGGACTTGATGCATAATATAAAATTATGACTCGCGCGAGTGATTTAACTTATTTATGTAAGTCATTTTTTCATCCATCAAATGAAATTTCTTTCTTCTTAGAAAACAAACCATCCCCTTACCTTAAAATTTTTACATAAATTATCATTAGATACTTACATTCTATATTCTTGCATTTTTCGATAAAAATAGTTCGTGCAGTATTTACTACATGGACTTTCGCTTGGTTTCTTCAGCATGTTTGGAACCTTGATCGATTTGAAGCATTACGATGGCGGCGTGTTAGAAGATTCGAATTGGTAGATATATTATTCATTTTCATTACTTTTATTTATTTTGATTAATTTATAAACTAAATTTTGAATTCAATTCTTTGAATCAATTTTAATAGAAATCTGCAATCACAATATTACTATGCATCATGTGCCCGTTACAGGCAACTTACGATATTGCTACTACAAAAATAAAGTATACTGAAGGTTTCATGGTAATTCCATATAATGGAGAAATTATTACGAAACCAGTGCAATTTTGGAGTGATGAAAACAGACAATTGGTTACGCCCATCAATTACGTTCTTTGTGTCAATTTTAGTGCTCAAACGTAAATATATTTATATTTTTTTTTACTTCTATCAACTCTATTCAGTCAAATGAATACTAATCTATACTAATATCGTTTTTAATTAAAGATGCTTGTTATTCTTGCTTCAATCATTTTGGAATTATCTTGCAAATAATATAGCAAAAACAACTTTTATGGGTAGTTTTGGTACGTTTTACATACAAATTTTCTCGATAAGGATATATCTTTCTCATCTTTATCCTAATTAAATAATAGAATTCAAATCATATATAATATACTCCGTATTCAGTTTGGCCTTGTTTCCATTATTACAATGGTTGTTCCGTTACGATGATGTATACACTGAAGTAGTCCCTCAATTGGCTTTTGGTGTAATTTTGTTCATAATCGGTTTATTGGGTGTAAGATCTCATTGGAGATTTACAAGATTATTAAGAATTACTAGGGGTGCGAATGCTTCTCAATTGAGCATTGTATTAAAATTAGAATACTTTAAGGTATGCTTAAAAGTAGTATTATCATTTCTGGTTTTAATACTGTGTAATATGTATTAATGTACTAATCACAACAACAACAATAATAATAGGAAATGAACCGATATTTGACTTGGGGTCTTTTTATCGCTTCTGCATCCTTGACAATTTTATGTATCGATGCTTTCACTCCGCAAAAATATCTTAACAGTCATAAATTTACCATGGATCTTTTAATTAGTCATCTAAATTTTACAATTTGGATAGTATTTCTCACCTTGATTTTGATTTTTTATCCATCATCAAATACTCTAAATGATACGTTAACAATGACCAAAGGTATTGGTTCTTCTTTCACCGCTCATTCGAAGGGTAACTTATTGGAACCACCAAGTCGTAGATGGTCAAAGCACAGTCCAAATAATGAAAATATTTCTTGGTCTTCGCAAGGTTCTTCAAGGAATGATCGTACAAGTTGGTGCTTGGATGTTAATGATAATCCTTCAGCTGCTGCTCGAAATAATCAGAATAAATCACGACCAACATCTGTATCGTTTGATACGCCACCATTACCTACTTCTGTCAATCTTCCTCCAAACTCTCCTCCATCAATTTATAACCCATCGGCTTCACGTGAAACGAGAAATTCATCTTCGTTTTATTTTACTTCAAATACTTTATTACCAAGTCCAATCTATCCATCATCATCCTC